AGAACTGATGTAAATGGTTCAATGTTATGGGAAAGAATGTGTCCTATATTGCTATAGAAATATAATGTAAAATAAATGAATAAAATATGATTTTGCCATATTACAAATGGACGCTTTTATCTTTACAAAAGGTGTCAAGACAACTGAGAGGGCTAGGCTACACAGGGAGTTACAGCCAGGTTATGGTGAAAGATGTGCACTTACCATGGTGAAGTGTTATTAAATGCTAAATGGGTGCCAAAACATTGAATAGCAGACAGTGATCCATGATTACCTGTGTACACTTCAAAGTCTAGCAATTTTTTACTGCTAATAAAACCCAGTTTAGCTTTACTCTAAGCGCTAGGCTACAAGGATGACCTTCAATCTTAAATGGAAGATCTTAAATCTTTTGCTACTAAGAGGTTTAACTACAGAGTTTTAGCAGCTCACTGTAGTCATTCGACTAACAATGATAATAATTTATTGTTATGAATATCAATTGATATTTAAACCAATGGAACAAGTAAGTAATCTACACAAGTAGCAAGTACTGGTATGTAGTAGTGATCAAACTTGCATGTTTACGACATGCTCAAATAATGTGTGAATGAGCGCTACAAGATTCTGCTGCATGCTAAATATATAGCTTACTCAGTAGGGTATTTGTTCTATATCTATTTAGCGATCAATTGCTACTCCAAGCAGTTGATCACTAGTGATTTTTAGTAGCATGATTGTGTGACTACATTCTCCTGTGTAGCTTAAACCTATTGAGATGTTTGCCATCAAATGATAATATCTCTTAGTAGTTTCAGTATATCAGTAGAAGAGATTAAAATCACCCATGTAAACCATAGTGAAACATTGTTTCTGGTATGCAAACATTTTTGAAGTTCTATTTGGAAAATACAATACTATGTTTATATGTAAATTAGAGTCTTGAAGAAAACTTTCTTTATAGTCGTATTGTAAAAGTAAAACTCAGGGTTGAATGACAAATATGTAATTTTTGCAGATTTTTTGTCTTCTGTTTATGCATTTAATACACCAATAAAATAAGAAAATATTTATTAAAAATTCCAATATCCTATACCTGGATTTACTGTGGTAGAGGGTATATTCTACATACTGTGTTTCCCATAAACAGCTCTTTCAAGTCTTAATAAACAGGTCTCTCTGGTACAAGTTGTATTTCTCGTTCTTATACCCTTTGTCAATGAAGCCATGTTCATCATACAATACTGAGTTACACCTACTGTAGTTTCACCACTACACCACTTCAATTACCTGTCTTCTCTTTCCTGTCTACTACTGAGCTGCTTTTGTGCTGAACTCAAGCAACAAGAATCATGCATGTCCAACTATGCATGTGTTATTCTAATTGGGCTTGACACTATCGTTTTTCCAGTGTTATTGTAATTTATATAGACAAGAAAACAGCTTTCTTGTGGAAAAGTAACCCTAAAAACAGGATTTGGGAAACCACTGCAGACTTAAAGCTGAACTTCAGGAATATAAAAAAACACAATTTGATGCAGCTAGTTTCTCCCTTAAAGTGCATTCTTGCATATAGCTAGCATAAGTTGTTGAATCTGTCTTGATATCAGTCTCTTGTCAGCCCCTGCACAGCAGCACTCAGACTGGGAGAATAAGGGGCAGAACTTGGAGTGAATAATAGATAGATGAAAGTAGTCACTCGCACTCTATGATATTAAAGTCAATGCTGTTTATTGACTGAGATAACACACACCTCCTTAGCGACGTTTCAAGATCATGCGGCCCCGTCCTCCGGCAAACAGAGAAACACTCTCTGTTTGCCGGAGGACAGGGCCGCATGGTCTCGAAACGTCGAGTATTAACATACTCCTGGGTACATATGGCTCCTGGAATGTATTCTATTTTCATGACATTGTGTATTACTGATTTGTGTGTTCACACTACATCTATCATGCCATCACAGTAAGCAGCTTTCTCTGTTAATGAATGTTAGATATGCGAAATATTCTTTCTTAGTTCATCTGTATGCACCAGAGTATTATTCACTATTATTCACCACTTATTCACTCCAAGCTTAATCCTCCTGTCCCATCGCACTCCTGACCGGACAAAAACCCAAATCCAACTGGGTGGGTGCAGTGGTGACAACGGATGCCTACGTGAAATGTAGATAGATGAAAGTAGTCACTCGCACTCCATGATATTAAAGTCAATGCTGTTTATTTACTGAGATAACACACATCTCCTTAGCGACGTTTCGAGATCATGCGGCCCCGTCCTCAGGCAAACAGAGAAACACTCTCTGTTTGCCTGAGGACGGGGCCGCATGGTCTCGAAACGTCGTTATGGAGATGTGTGTTTTTAATTTATTTAATTTTGTCGAGTTGTCGCCGTCATGGACAATGGTGGACGTCGTGATTGACCCTGGATTACGTCGGTGGATCCATTTTTTTGAATTTTTTTTACAATAAAGGACTTGTCAAAATGCTTTGGTTTTTTTTTTTCAATTAAAGGATGTTTCAAAAGTCTGGCCTCTTTTAAAAATGTTATTCAACCCATTAGTGAATAAGTAGTACCCCTTATTTATTCACAAGGGGGGCTGCATCTGGGTGCCCCTTTATTAAAGGGGTACTTTGATGTGAATAAGCTCCCCTGCCCGCACTTCCACAACCAACGCCCCAGGGCTTGTGGGGAAGAGGCCCTTGTCCACATCGGCATGGGGACAAGGTGCTTTTCCAGAGGGGACCCTAAAAAATCCTGTCTCAGGGATTGGTTGGAAAATTTTCCTGCTTGCAACTGTTCCCCTCCCGATAAGAATAAATTTTGAATGAATGAAATTAATTTCAGAACATTCGTTCGACTTTCTAATTGTTGATGGGGTCAAATCGATGATCAATTTTGACTGCAGTGACAAAAAAATATGAAGAAGCATGTTGAAAAATTTGAAAGTGAAACACAGTGAATGTGGTTTTCATTCCAGAAACTTCATTCATTCCAAAATAGAATGTTACATGAAAATCAAACAAAATTTTGAACGAATATTGCTAAGTCTCTCATTATCAAATGTTCCGATGGGATGTTCCGATGGGATGTTCCGATGGGATCGTACGAAAATCTACCCGTGTATATCCTACTTTAGTTTGACAGCAAGACCAGGGCATCTGAGGTACTCCCAAGGTATTTAATAAAGTAATGTTGTGCCTCATATGGCATATGGATGGTTATTTAGATAAAGAGGGTGAATCTAAAGTATTTTTGCACATATTTTAAACAGTTATTTCCATGCGTATTTAAAGAACGTACATTTGTTTTTGACTTCTCCAAAACTAATGACAGACCCTTGATGATGTTTCTATTCAATATGTGCACCCACTGGATAGTACTTGATGAAAAAGCCCTTTATGTAGCATTATGCCTAATCAGTAGATAAAAATTGACAATCTCCTGAGAGTGTATAACACATCCAGCTGTTGGGGTTTATTTTCTGCTATTGGTTTGTTTGCATACACTTTTACATTGTCACACTCATGAAATCAAATCTTAAAATATATATGTAGTGCAGCAAAATCATTTGGATCTTGCAATAGGTTGGTCTTGATCTCATGTCTGTGGGGAACTCATGAGTCTGCTGATTGCTCTCTGTCTCAGGGATTGGTTGGAAAATTTTCCTGCTTGCAACTGTTCCCCTCCCGATAAGAATGGAAGATGGGATAAAAACAAAGGAAATGAACAAGAAAGCTACTAAAATAAACCATAAACCTGGAATTGACCGGTTTCAGCAACACAAACAAATACATAAACAAGCTCAGTGTTAGTGACTACAAGTCAAAATTATGTTTGCGACTACAAGTCAAAATTGAAGTAGCCTGATAAGGAACCATGACCTGCCAATTAGATAAAATCACAATTCTTTTTTCTTTATATGATAAAATCACGTTGATTTTTTCCCCCCACAATCCCTATTCTGCAGAATGTAAACTGTGCTATAGCATTACTCATACACATTACTCATAAACAACACTTTTAAATGCCATATATTGTATGCCTTATAATCCTACATTTGGAGCAACACTAATTAACTTTTTGTAATGCTAGAACATTATATTAGATTATAAACCACAAAGATCCTACTACTGCTTTAGGAGGATTATGTTCTTTTTATGGCATTCTCATTTGTACTTCCCATGACTTATGTCAATTGTCATTGCTGTGGACAAAAAAGTGACCTTGTATTACAAGGATGGTCTTCAGTACTTGAAAAGATAATGTTGTCAATCATTCAAAGCATCAATGACTTATACATCTGAGTATTTGTGTACTATGTCTTTACTTTTTTACCATTCTCCCTTCTTTTTTATGAAAAATGACAGGTAACAATAAATGTAAAAAAAAATATGAGAAAAAAACCCACAGATATAAAGAACGTTTTGCAAAGCAACATGGGGGAGGTTTTCTCATAAGTGTATTTTTTAAAGCAGATTTTGCTTAAGTCTAAATTCCTAAAATTGAGGCTCATTTCGACAAAAAAAATATTGCAAAGGCAAAACTGGCATTTTTTTTGGCCACCTCTATTTGGATAAAATCACTCTGCTCCATCCAACTGATAAACCGGCACCAGGATTCCATTGACAGCTCCTGGAAGTCTGGCTAAGTTGGTTGTTGCCAAGAGACGATTCTGAAGGGGTCAAATTATGTCTGGACAATCCTGACCTTCTAGATTCCATAAAAAGCTTTACATTTTGAAATTATTTTGGGCACTAACTAACATTGTCTTTGATTTGGAAAAACTTAATACAAAAGCAGTTTCACTACAGACATAATTGAAAGAGCTGCCAGGAAATCTAGACAAAAAGAGCTGGGGGCTCTGCCTCTATGCTAATTGTTTACAAGAAGTGTGGTACTGTACTGACCTCAGGCTCAGCTTCCCACCAAGGAATTTGGTATAAAAGGTTTTAAGACTGAGGAGCACATCATTGTGCTTGTTTATTGTCACATTTGGTAATTTCAGAGGAAAGAGCAGGATGTTAAATCCAGAGCCTCAGATACTGGTGCACACTGTCCTTCTGTCACTGTGTCTACTCACTTGCAATGCAGGGTAAGTAACACTTTTTTTTGCTATTTATCTGTATATATAAATTTTATTGTGCAGAAAAAATATTAAAAAAAGGAATATGGTCTGTATATGAATGATTGAAATGATTGAAATGAATAACCTTTATTGAGCTAATTAAAAAATTTAATTCATTGAACTAAAAATAACAACCAGAACTAAAGCAACTAGCAAGTACCAGCATTGTAGTGTCCTAATAATAACTTTTTATTTTATATTAATATTTTAATAATAATGAAATACGGCAGTAGGTAGTTTTAAACGCTAATTGTAAAGTTAAAATGTAAAATTTAACATGCTTGTAATGGATTTGTTAGTAATGCATGAATTGGAACCCATTTTGTTTTGCAGGTCATCATATTATATAACTGCACCTCAGTATATTATTCCTGGAGAGAATACAACCCTTGCTGTTCACTGGTTTGGAGTGCAACACTCTGAAATCAATGTGACTGCAGGAATTGCAATTGGTTTCAATGTCCTAGTTCAAGCATACAAGGTGTTCCGTAATGGTGAGTAGATATCTTTCATAGAAAATATTTTCCCTTAATATATGTAATTGTAGCAGATAGACACATTTAACTCTGAATCCAGAATCAACATACATTCATTATCAGGCTAATCACTTAGAAGGTGCAAAGTTCAGTAAGCCATTGCAAATAATGGGAGTTGACCTCTTTTGTTCATATGACTACAGTAATCAGAAATGTGATTGGAAGGTACAGGTTGCTACATTTTGGAAATAGCCATTGCATTTAAACGTACTTATTGATTAAGTCTGTATAAAGCCAAAACATAAATTCTAATGAAAGTCACTGATGCCAGTTTTCTCTTTTTTCATTTTCAGACTCTATTGGATTACTCACTATTCCAGCAGTAAGTACATAGTTCAGTAGTAGTTACATTGGCAATATAGGCTGAAAATGTTTGATACAGATAAAGTGACTGATTTACTAAAAGAATTGAGAATATTCACCCCAAAAAAGAGTGAAGGTTCACTGCAATTATCCAATCATGAGCAATAGATATACATAAACAAGACCTGATTGAATAATTGAAGAACATCTTCACTGTTTTTTGTATGAAAATTCTCAGTCAGTCTCATTATCTCTATTTATTGCAATGGAAGGAGATTTTTGGATGATTGCTCTGATGAGATTAAACTTGCAGGTGTATACATAAAGTGACACTAAACTCAGGAGTTAAATCTTAAAAATGCATTCAAGTACCTTAACCACTTGCTGACCAGGTTGTTAAACCCCCTTAGTCTCCAGGCCATTTTTCAGTATTCAGCGCTGCAGTACATTGGCTGACATTTATTCCGTCATTCAATGGTGTACTGAAATGAATTTTATACAATTGTTTAGGGACAGATAGAGCCTTCTTTTGGTGGTATTTAATCACCACTGGGGTTTTTAGTTTTTACTATATAATAAAAATAGTACCTAAAATTTTGAAAAAAAAAAGTTTTCACTAGATTATGTTATAAAACATTTATTATTACCCAATTGTTTGGTAAAATATTAAAGATGGGTTTACATCGGGTAAATAGACACCAAACATGTCAAGCTTTAAAATTGTGTGCGCCCTCAAAATTGCAAAAAACGACCATGCCTAAAATTGGCCATAGGCGACACTTTAAAAGCTTTTACCGCTCATCAGTTTACTGTTATCAGTGATTGATGGGCCTATAATTATTGCTCTCACTGCGACATACGCGGCGATATGTAACATGTGTGGCGCAATAGTTGTTTTCGCACATAGGCGCACAAGACGCGTATTTACGTTTATAAGTGCGTGTACGCACTTATAAACTTTCATTATTTTGAGACTTTCATTATTTTTTTTACCTTTTTAATTTTTTACACTTAACTTGATTGCCATCGCATTGGGGGCTAAAACTCCCCCAATGTGATAGCCAGAAAACAATGACAGGTCCTCTTTATGGAGACATCAGGGGTCTTTAAGATGTCACCTAGGGACCCCAAAAGAAGCTGATGAAGCAGAGATCTGCTTCACTTGCTTCTCTCTGGCTATACCAGCCAGAGAAATGACAGCTACAGGTGGAAGTGATGTAATACACATTGCTTCTGCCTTAGAGAGAACGCAGGAGAGATCAGGGATGGGAAATGCTGATCTCTCCTCCGTATGGGCAGCTGCTGTGCCGCTCCCGGGCTCACAGCGGGGATAGCGGAGCCTGGGATAACCAGCAGCGGTGGGGGAGGGAGGGAGCGTGGCAGAAGGGGGTGTATTACATGGCATTACAAGCGATCTGCCTGCTGTAGAGCCGGCCAAATGCCGGTACTGGCTGTTTACACTCCCGGCGGTGTGACTATTCATTTCAATTATCCAAGCACGTGAAAAGCAAATTCCTGTTTACTTAGGATATCAAATCATGTGCTGATGCTTTTCACATTAATGGATAATAAAAGTGAATTATCCCAATTTTGTCAGTAAAGATTCAATTTTTATTAGCAAATCAGACATAGACTATTATGTCTCTCCCATCAAACACATTATGCTTTTAGTATTATTTTAGTTCAAATAAGTATTGATTTTTGATATGGTTAAATACTTAACACCTATTTACTTATTTAGGCAACTGTGGCTAGTTTGTGTTTCTACAACTACTAATGAACTACATGCCAATCAGGCTAGATAGATAAAGCATATCTACAATGATCTAGTTTGTACAAAGTGGTACTGCAAGCATTATACTTCAGAACAGAAGTGGATTAACTTATGGATATGCAATGAGGGAAATGTATCAAAACTGGAGCAGACAAATTCTGGAGCAGTTGTGCATGGCAACCAATCAGCTTCTCTGTTTAGTTTGTTCAGTTAAGATTTTAAAATGAAAGAGAGAAGCTGATTGGTTGCCATGCACAGCTGCTCCAGATTTTGTCTGCTCCACTTTTTGATAAATTCCCCTCAATATGTATATATAAATAAATAATGCATAATGGTGTGCATTCACAAAATCATTAGTTGCATAAATAAAAGACTGTGCGAGCTGGTATCTAGATGCATTTGTCTGCTGAATTGTGATACAGAATGATCCCAAGTATTAAGATACCCATAGACATGAAATGACACTTAATTGATCTGGCCATTGTTGGCTGGATCAGGTAGATATCTCATATTTATAAGTAATGCTCTGCTCATAACCCCTGGACAACTGCTCTCGGGGGAACAATTATTTAAGTAGGGTAAAAAACTCCCTCTATCATTTTTGTTCCCTTTGTGAGTGCTCTGCCCTCCTCATTCCTTACATCACAGGTGCCAGTGGGTAAGGAAGGAAGAGACAATGATAGAAGAGCCATATTTGACCAACTAGAAATTTTTACATTTTGCATTTTTCTTTTTTGTGTATTACAGATCTCAGCAAATTCTTCTTCAGATAGCTATCTGCTGCTCGTGAATGGATGTGCCAATGGTACTTTAGTATTCAATGAACAAAGGCAAATAGAATTTCAAACAAAGAATATGTCTATGTTTATACAAACTGACAAAGATATTTACAGACCCGGAGAAACTGTCCATATTAGAGTGATTTCTGTAAGTCATGCCTTGAAGCCATACATTGGATTTGTGGACCTGCAGATAAAGGTAGGCATTATTACTTGTTTACTTTTTAAAGTATAGTTGATGTATAAGTACTTCATTACAGAAATACTGTATATGTATTAGTTTTACTGATTTTTGCTCTTCTTTAATTGAATAATAGGATCCTAACACCAACATTGTGCAACAATGGCTGCAGATGAAATCAGACCTGGGAGTTGTATCTTCATATTTCTCTCTGACTAGCAACCCTACTATGGGTAATTGGATGATAGAAGCTAAATCAGATGTAAGTAGATATCACTTTGCAGCTGAAATGACGGTTCTCAATAAAAGTTAATGTTAATACAAAAAGGAAACAACTCTGCTGTTTAGAAAGAAGATCATTCATACAGGTCCCCATATAGTAATGGGCTTTTCTTTTTCTTTAACAATCCCAACCAGCTATGATGTACATTCATAGCCATCTCTTCATAGATTACTTTATTATTTGCAGTGATTTAGCTACTTGGTATTATTATTATACAGGATTTATATAGCGCCAACAGTTTGCGCAGCGCTTTACAATATAGGGCAGGCATTACAATCACAATACAATTCAAGACAAGATGGTAAGGAGGGCCCTGCCCCTGAGGGCTTACAATCTAAAAGGGAGGGGCAAGTAATACATGAGGCGGGAGCTTGTTTGAGAACGTGATGGTTGAGCGGTTAGGTTGAGGTGGGATAGGCTTCCCTGAAGAGATGAGTCCTTAGGGATCGCCTAAAGGCAGTCAAGGTGGGCGACAGATGGACAGGTTGGGGTAAAGAATTCCAGAGGATGGGAGAGACTCTAGAGAAGTCCTGGAGGCGAGCATGGGAGGAGTTGACAAGGGAGCTGGAAAGCAGGAGGTCTTGGGATGAGCAGAGCCGACGGTTAGGGTGATACTTTGAGACCAGGTTTGAGATATAGCCGGGGGCAGAGTTGAGGATGGCTTTGTAACTGATTGTTAATATTTTGAATTTTATCCTTTGGGCTATTGGAAGCCAGTGCAGGGATTGGCAGAGGGGGGTTGCAGACACTGAGCGGTTGGTTAGGTGGATGAGTCTAGCAGCTGCATTCATGATGGACTGAAGGGGGATAGCCTGTGTAGTGGAAGGCCAATGAGGAGGGAGGTGCAATATTTAAGACGAGAGATAACAAGGGAGTGGATGAGTAATTTTGCGGTGTTATTGGTGAGGAAGGGGCGTATTTTGGAGATGTTACGAAGGTGAAGGCGGCAGGATTTGGATCGCGGTTGGGGGGGGGAAGAAAGGTGAGGTCCGAGTCAAGGATGACACCTAGGACCTTGTCATGGGGGGAGGGCTGGATAGTTGTGTTAACAATCTCAAGGGAAAATTTGGGGGAAGGTGCACGGGCAGGAGGAAATATCAAGAGCTCAGTTTTTGAAAGATTGAGTTTTAAGAAGTGTTGCGACATCCAGACGGATATGTCGGATAGTAGATTAGTGACACAAGAGGACACAGAGGGGGTGAGTTGTGGAGTAGAAAGATAGATTTGAGTGTCATCGGCATCTTCTGAGATTGCTCCGCTATGCAAACTAAATTTTAAGGTTGCATTTATTTATTTTTTAAAAGATAAAATCAGATGATATCAATATGTCAGAATCATACCACCTACTATCCTCACTAGAGGTCACTTTTGAAAGCTTATTTTGAAAACACATACAGGTTTTTATGTGTTTCCATGTAGTAAGGAGTTAAAATATTTTTTACATATGTATGGTCATGGAGTTGCTAAATTCAGGATACCAACAATCACATAATTAAAGAAGTCCCATTTAGGGCTAAGGTAGGTGAAGAAAAGCAGCATGTTTTCAGGTGCACTTATATGCATTGGAGATGCATTTTAGATACTTCTAAGATACTTCTAAGGTCCTTCTGAGAAACTGGTGACTGGCCATCTTGCTAAGCGATTTACAGCTGCTTTTGCATACCTATTCATTTGTATGGGGTGAAAAGCAGTTCTGATGCAAAAAAATGGAGGTCTACACAAGCCTTTATTATAAAAAGGTAATGTTTTAATGGAAAATGTACAGTTGTTTTTTTCTGCGTAAAAGCGGTAAAGGGAAATGTGTCTCATAGCTACTTGGCAATTTATAGAATACACCTGTAGTGGTACTGTTAATACAAATAGCAATACATCTCAAAGTTTGGTGTTTGGGTGAAGCGGTTACATTTGATGGCTTAATAATTCTATTCTTTCCCATTTTCAGAGAAATGTGTTCTCTAGTTACTTCTCTGTCACAGATTACAGTACGTATCAATTTCTTTTAACTTTCTTTATGTATCATTTTCTGATTTCTGTTAATTCTGTACACGTGCATTTTTGTAATTTTATTGTAAAATATAAATTGTGCTGAAATGATGTTATTTTGTGCACTCATAACAACCTGGGACTAATTTAAAGAACCATTACATATTAAACCATGTTAGATTGGTAACTGTAGGAGGTGTGCTCCTTTTATTTTATACACAAATATGATCATATTAGTATTGAGAACTTAATAATTAGTTTTTTCATCATCACTTATATATGAGAGACAAAAATATTTGCATTAACACTGTTCACATGGGAAACCGAAAATATTATTAGGCAATGGAATGCACGCTGACAAACTTAGAAAATGTTAAAATTTGTATTTATAGTCAAATTGTTGTACAATACTAACTAGATAGATCATAAATACCCAACATCTGATACTTTATGTTTTCCCAGTTTTACCAAAATTTATTGTAACACTGGATGCTCCACAAGTCTATGTTTCTCCAAAGATGCTCAACCTAACTGGCACTGTTACAGCAAGGTAAGCCAATCTTTCTCTCTGTTGCTTTAATTTACATTGCTAGATGTGTTGTTATACAAGGAACACTCATAGGGGTCTATTCACAAAGCTACTGAAGGATCTAGCCGTAGCTTTGGCTGATCCTTCCGGTAACTTCGGCCCCAGGAACCCCTTCGGTTCAGGGCTGCTGTATGGGCTATTTACTATAGCCCGTACAGCCCCCGAAGTTGGCCGAGGGGCTCAGTTGAGCCGAAGGCATATGCTTTGGCTGGATTGAGCCAATGGGTAATTCGAAGCTGGCCGAACAGCCGGCCATTGGCCGGTTGACAGCCTGCTTCTGACAGCTAGGCGGAGCAAGGCGTCATCTCACGGCTGGCTCCAGCCACTTGCAGAGAGATCAGCAACCCTAGTTACCAGGTAACTAGAGATGCTGATCTATGATTACACTGAGAACACGTCGGAGCTGCTGTAAAATAACAGCCTCTTCGACGGGTTCTGTGTGTAATGACAGAAGGCGCTCCTGGTTGCATTAAGATGAGAGCTTAGCAGAGTCGGCTTTCATATCCCGCCGACTCTGACAAGCTCTAATTCTAATGACAGCTGGTCCCGGCCAATAGAAAACAGTTTAGCAGAGTTAGCTGTCACTGCTAGCTCCGCCCAATCGTTTTCTAATTTTGTTTTTTTCTACTTTTTTAAACTATTTTTCTATTCTGCTCGATACCACAGAGGTACTGAGCAGAATAGCCGAGCCGAATGCCGATCGGCTGAGTCGAACTCCTTCTGCACTTCGGGTCGGCCGAACATGCTGGGCATGTTCGGCCGACACGAAGCCACCCGATGCACGGCTGGTTTCATCAGCAACCCTAGTTACCAGGTAACTAGAGATGCTGATCTATGATTACACTGAGAACACGTCGGAGCTGCTGTAAAATAACAGCCTCTTCGACGGGTTCTGTGTGTAATGACAGAAGGCGCTCCTGGTTGCATTAAGATGAGAGCTTAGCAGAGTCGGCTTTCATATCCCGCCGACTCTGACAAGCTCTAATTCTAATGACAGCTGGTCCCGGCCAATAGAAAACAGTTTAGCAGAGTTAGCTGTCACTGCTAGCTCCGCCCAATCGTTTTCTAATTTTGTTTTTTTCTACTTTTTTAAACTATTTTTCTATTCTGCTCGATACCACAGAGGTACTGAGCAGAATAGCCGAGCCGAATGCCGATCGGCTGAGTCGAACTCCTTCTGCACTTCGGGTCGGCCGAACATGCTGGGCATGTTCGGCCGACACGAAGCCACCCGATGCACGGCTGATTTCAGCTGATATACGGCTGAAATCACCCGTACAAGCCTGAAGTGAATAGCCGAACAGTGTTCGGCTCACTTCACTTCGGTTCGGTTGTTCACTCGGCTGCCTAAGGCAGCTTTGTGAATAGACCCCATAGTTTTAGGTCCAAACTAGCAGCCAGAATGAGCAAGGTAATATAGAACTGAAAAACCCCTGACAGTGTTATAGTGTTTCTTAACCCTAGTCACTGCTCACTGCTCGGTCTGTAGAAATATAAGTAAAACACGTGCAATACAAAAAGGAATTCTTAAACTGAATAATCTAATTGCATGATTTAACCACAAACAGTCATCCGATGACAGAATTGTATTGAAGTCCCTCAAAAGAGTAAAAAAAAAAACCACAGCAGTGACTGCAGCTGATTTTTAAGAAAATTGTCAGACCATGTTCTTTAACAAAAGTTGATTTAAAAATTAATTTTGTCAAATGTGGGATCCAGACAGGGCCACACACTGGTCAGCCGAGTAAGCATACATTTCTCCAGATTCTTGGCAATTGGATTATATGTTTGCTGTGGAATTTTTTAAACTTTTTGAATTGGCTTTTTATTTGTCTTGTTCTAAGTGCTGTAGAAGAATATTGTGTTAAATGGATTTATGTATTCAATGTTGGAGGAAAAAAAGAATCTAAAGCAATCTAAAAAAAACTGAATATGTATCCTATTTTTAAAAGCAGTTCATCTCATATATTCACATTTGTATTTTGCATTTAGGTATTACTCTAATAAACCAGTAGAAGGGAATGTAACAGTAACAGTGACGCCTAATTATGTTCAAAATGCAAGTAAGGTTAAAGAAACATATATGGTATGTATATGATTTTCCATTTGTCAACTTATTTTCAGTATTTCTGCATTTTTCTTAAGTATATAATAAAGAGGGATTTGCAGTACATAACACCCCCACCACAAGCCAAAAGGTATCATGCAAACTACAGTACCACCATTTTGGCAAATATGCCTGTTTGATATTTGCTGGAAATTTTCCATATTGTAGATATCCAGGAATAGTAGCCTATCCACAAATAATTTTGCAGCCCTGGACTGCTAGGTGATTTTTTTATCACTAAATACAATTTAAAAAGATAGTCTCTAACACCCCCAAATAATACCAGCCTGACACAACAGGCATACTGGGCAGAGAATCAGTCAACGATGGACCCCTTCCATGCTAATAATGTTACAGACTGGTAGTTGGTGTTTCTGCCCTGGAAGTGTTGCAGAAATTGCAGGAGAACACAAAGCTGAATACCTAGCTGAACCTCTGGGTTTCCCTATTCAGAGTGGACCTGCTGGAGATCAATTAAAGTTTCTGTACTGTAGTCCTAAAATCAGAAAGTAAATGAAAACACCTGCTTTAAGCTAACAGTTTCCTCCTAGCAGACTGAATGCCTTCGAGGAAGCTGCAAACCACAAACTGGTGATCATCTGATCAAAGCATACTGTCTATGCCAATCAAAAACCCTTACTGGAGATAAACCACTGTAACAGAACAGTATTGTGAGTGTTGAGATCGCTTCAAGCTGATAATCAGGGGTTGTTAATAAGAAAGGTCAAGAGAAAGTACTATATATTGAAATCAAGAATAAAGTGAAGCCTCAATGACCAGACACAGTTTATGATAACAATGGAAGAAACTTTTACATTTGTTCTGTTTTTTTTTTTTTTTTTGCCACTGCTTAACATTATTTATTGGGTTTAGAGATAATTAAAATGCTCGAGCACCAATATGTCTCCATTACCTATAATCGATTTACTGCTGATAGTGGACCTTATGAAAAGTATCCATCATTATTCTGTTTATACCTGTTGCCTTTTGATCACCCCTATGCTATAACCAGCAAAATTGTTTTATACACAGAGGCAAAAAATTGCATAGTGTTTAGAAATTCAATAGGACCTACAGTTTGAGATATAACTATTTCTGTTTTCTTATTGTATATAGATCTCAGGATCTGTAAACTTCAGTTTTCCTTACACAAACATACAAAAATTTATAAATCCGGAAATAATGCGTATAACAGCTTTCGTAACAGATCAAGTCACAGGTAAACTATATAGATGTTTTTCTTTTAATATAATGGCTTGAATGTATGATTAGGCTTACAGAAAGTATAATATTACTTCCTTTTTTATATAGGTATTGTAGTAGAAACATCAACCTATATAATGGTAACAAACTCAGAGTATAAAATTAACTTCATTGAACAACATCAAGCATTCATGACTGGTGGAAATTTTACATCTATGGTAAGTTAAAACAAAATTCATGTTTGCACCGCTATTAACAATTAATACATTGGCTATCAGAAATGTCTTGAAAAAAATGTATTAGCACCCCTGAAAGTACAACAACTGACTTTCTTTTTAACCACTATATTGCCCATGGCAATATCCTAATTTTTATTATGGTTAAAGGGGCCGTGAAAATTGGTGAAGCTTAACAATTTTGATGACTATCACACAATAAAAGTCATCATTGCATAAAGCTTAGTTTACAGTTTGTTTCATCTGGAGCACTTTGATACAGATACTTAGGTAGACTGGATAAGTGCTATGTATTATTTAAGAATTGTCCAACTCTCAGTGCAGGGTCTGTAAGAATTTTAGGAAAAGCAAAGTATTTCAAAGACATATTTAGTAACACATTTGTAAACAAGTTGAGGGGAATTTATCAAAAGTGGAGTAGACAAAATCTGGATCAGATGTGCATGTAAACCAATCAGCTTCTATCTTTCATTTTCAAATCTTAACTGAATAGACTGAAGAGAAAAGCTGATTGATTATTATGGGCAACTGCTCCAGATTTTGTCTGCTCCACTTTTGATAAATGCCCCCTGTTTTGTATAGGCAAATAAATATGTATGCTTTTTCTTACAGATTCAAATACAACGGACTGATAAACAATCCTTAACTGAACAAGAGAGGAAGGAGAAGGTGATAGTTAACATAACCTATAATGCAATGACATTTCAGCAGCTATATGCAATCCCAGAAACTGGAATTATCACTGTGCAGTTTCTAGTTAACTTATCATCATCTGTAATATACATTATGGTGAGTACAGAACTAATTAAAAATATTCTTTTAAATATTAATATTTCTTGGTTTACCAAATAATATTTAAAAATATAAGCTATAATAAACTAAACTAAAATAGTAAACTAAATTCATAAAATAGCAGCAGAATTATATCAATTTTACATTTCTAATCGTTCTTTTATTATTGTTCAGGCTCAGTACAAGAATATGAATTCATATTACAGCACTGATGAGGTTTTTACATACAATCCTCTTGTTCAACTAAAAACACCAGATTCCACTTTAAAGGTAATAGTTTATTTGTTTTTCGCATTTAAAACTTTTTCTCTACCTTTGAACCAATGACTTCACAGTGGATGTTTTGCTGTAGCTTCTAAATCATCATAGATATCTGCTCTCTGAAATGAAAACTACAATTGTAATAGTATGTATAGCATGTAACAGAAAGTGATACCAACACAATACAGCACTATATAAATACATGTATATTTTTAATATAGGCTGGAATACCATTTGAAGTGCACGTTGATGTCCTGGTGGAAGTCCAGCAGATATATTACACAGTAAGTTTTGATCAAATCATATTTAAATTGTGCTTAGAAGGGCAACATTCCATCTGCTGCTACCCAATATTAATACTTTATATAACAAAGCCTCAAACATTCATGATAAGATCATATATCAAATAAAATAGAACTATTCCACTACTGCTTATTATGTAAATTAACCATACTCTTTCTTCATTTGTAGGTTGTATCCAAAGGAATGGTAGTGGCGGCTGGGAAAAATGGGACAACATTTAGCCTCACACCAGAAAACGCCTGGGCTCCCACGGCTGAACTGTTAGTGTATTTAATTAGTGGAAAGGGCAATGATAATATCATGCAGATTTCTAAAACACTTAATATCAAGGGGGCATTGAACAACAAGGTAACAAGAACACATTTTTTTTTCTAAAATCTTAAATATCTTAAAATATTATTTGAATCTTAAATACTATTTGAAAACCTTGAAATATTATTTATTTACATGGGGTTATAATATTTGAATCCACTTTGTGTTTGACACTTAGCTGTAACATGCTTGTTTCTTCTTCTTCCAATTTCTAAGATTGGTTTATCTTGGAGTAAAAACACAGCTAATCCATTGGAAACGGTGTCCTTGACTGCCAATGTGAAAGAATCTCGCTCTTTGGTGGGACTGCTCATTGCTGAAAAAAATTCCATACCTATCGAAAGACAAAATGACTTAACAACAAACAGAGTGAGTTTGAATGGACATAACATAACAGGGCTGATATTCTAAAAAGGATTTTTTTTCTCGGATTTTGCTTGCTTGAAGTAACTGGAATTTGGTGCTTTCAACACAAGTAAAACATAGTCCAATTTTAAAATTAGGCTGGTATTTTGAGCATTAATGCAACAGTGCAAGTATGTGGTTTTATGTATAATTTTTGTAAAGGTCAATAGTTTTTTTCTTAGGACATTGCAATGCTTTAAGAGATATATAACTCTAAGGCAGCGGTTCTCAACCTGTGGGTCGCAATCCCGTCGGGGGTTGAATGACAATTTGCTAGGGGTCGCCTAACGACATCCCAACTCTCCAGGAGTCTCCCGCTATTAGATAGCGGCTCCTGGCCACCCGGGAGAGAAACACTTTCTCCCGGAAAGGTTTACTCTGCTCGATCGAGCAGAGTGAAACTTTCCCTGCTCTGTCTCTAAAGACATCCCAACTCTCCCGGACGCTCCGGGAGTGTTTCTTGGCAGGGATCCGCTATCTAATGGTAGCAATATACAGCGATGAAGGAGCAACGAAAATAATTTTACTGTTAGGGGGTCGCCACAACTTGGGCAATATTATCAAGGGGTCGCGGCACTAGAAAGGTTGAGAACCGCTGCTCTAAGGGGTCTATGCACGAAGCAGCCGAAGGATCTGGCTGTAGCTTCGGCCAATCCTTTGGCTTGCTTCGGCCTCAGGACCCCTTCGGTTTACGCCCGGGAGAGGTTTTTTTTTCTTTTTGACGGCAGCAGAACCGCCGGCCAATAGAAAACTGTTGGGCGGAGCTAGCTGTTATTGCTAGCTCCGCACAATCGTTTTCTATTTACTTTTTTTTACTTTTTAAACTATTTTTCTGTTCTGCTCGGTCCCTCTGAGGGACCAAGCAGAACAGCCGAGCCGAATGCCACTCAGCGGCATTCGGCTATTCACTCCCTGCTGTTTGGCATCTATGAGAATAGACTGAACAGCAGCGAGTAGCCTGCTGGAGGTTCGGCTTAGCCGATCCAGATGTTGGAATGGGCTGAGTCGAACTCCTCCTGCACTTCGGGTCAGCCGAACATGCTGAGCATGTTCGGCCGACCCGAAGCCATGCAAAACAAGTTGATGTACGGCTGATTTCAGCCAATATACGGCTGAAATCAGCCGTGCAAGCATGAAGTGAATAGCCGAACAGTGTTCGGCTCACTTCACTTGGGGTCGGTTGTTCACTTAGTGAATAGACCCGTAAGTTATAGAGGGAGTTTTATGTTCAGCTACTGCCAAAAGAGAGTGATATAGGGAAAAAGTTAATTGAATTGACCGTCAGTAGAGCTCAAGTCAGATTTAAAAAACAGTACAGCATAAGAGAATAATATCTGCACACAGTACCTCGAGCATTAAAGGAGAACTACTCACCTCATAGTTCTAAGCCGACCTGGGACAATGAGACTGTCACAGGTTGGCTCAGTAGATCGGGAGGTGAGAAAACACATACCTGGTTCCCTCACCTCTCGATCCTGTCACGGCTCTCTGTCGTGACAGGGGGAGGGGCTGGATTCCCCTCTCCCCGCTCCG